ATCAGGGTTGTATCCTTTCCCCACACTTATTCAATCTAATATGCTGAGCAAATAATCTGAGAAGCTGGACTATATAAAGAAGAATGTGGCATCAGGATTGGAGGAAGAATCATTAACAACCTGAGATATGCAAACGATACAACTTTGCTTGCTGAAAGTGAGGATGACTTGAGGCACTTACTGATGAAGGTTGAAGAATACAGTCTGCAGTATGGATTACGTCTCAATATAAAGAAAACAAAAATCCTCACAACTGGACCAATGAGCAGCATCACAATAAATGGAGAGAAGATTGAGGTTGTCAAAGAATTCACGTTGCTTGGTTCTATAATTGATGCCAATGGAAGCAGCAGTCAGGACATTAGATGACATGTAGCACTGGGAAGGTCAATCGCAAAGGAACTGTTTCAAGTGCTAAGGAGCAAGAATGCCTCCTTGAGGACTGAGGTGTGCCTGACAGAAGCCATGATATTTTCAATCACCTCATATGCATGTGAGAGCTGGACAATGAATAAGGAAGACCGAAGAAGAGTTGATGCTTTTGAGTTGTGGTCCTGGCAAAGAATACTGAAAGTACCATGGACTGCTAAAATAACTTAACAGATCTGTCCTAGAGGAAGTGCAGCTGAAATTCTCCTTGGAAGCAAGAATGGCCAGACTTCGTCTCACCTACTTTGGTCATGTTATCGGAAGGGACCCTGGAGAAGGATGTCATGCTTGGTAAGGTGGAGGGTCGATGAAAGAGGAGAAGGCCTTCAAAGAGTTGGACTGACACAGTGCCTTGATGATGGGCTCAAGTATAGCAAGGATCATGGAGCTGGCATGGGATTGGGTGGTGTTTCGTTCTGCTGTGCATGGGGTTGCTATGAGTTGGAAACGACTCGATGGCACCTAACAACAACAACAACATAGATAAATAAAGACACATGTATATCGTATTGCTGATTCAAATATCAGGGCAGTAATTTTCCAAAGTGGCTGACAACAGTTGGTAAAGTTCAAATCAAACAAATTACAATTTTCTCTCAGTTTACATGGCGTATGCATTTCTGAAAAATTCAATAGATATTAAAATTGTACAAAATCATTTCTTGTTCATACATAAAACAGAATGAATTCTATACACAGATAAAAGTTGTTTAAAAGATTGCTTATTTTTACATATATGAATGTCTGGCTAGACATGAAAATCATGAGGGATAAGGGACAATTCTTGGTTATATGCGAACGTTTCACTCATATTTCCCTTCAAGAGAAAATCTACTAAGAGTTTTGTAGTTAGCTGACAGCCTTTTATTGCCATAGCTTCAAGAATCACTCCAGCATTCATGCCGAGGACACACCCTTCCTATGTTGGTCTTAGCCAATGACTGAACACAGAGGGGGTAATAGTTACATCATTCCTGCCCAATGAGGGATTCTGCTAACAAATTTTACTAGTGGGTGCTCCCCACAGCTTGGCTGAGACCTTCACAGAGCTGCACAGCAGTCAGACTCTTCCTATTTTTCCCTTCATTTCCTTTCTCTTTTCACAACTGTCAGTCTGAAAGCTTTTACTGCCTACTCCTCCCTCTCCCATTTGTCTTTCACAGATATTCTTCCCAACAGATCTCTTACAAATGTAATTCTGCTTGGTGTCTGTTTCATGGGAGATTCAAACTGACATTTGGTATTGGGAGTGACTTGAGAAAGCAAATGGAGTTTAGGGACCAGATCACTTGCCATTCACCTGGAAAGGATGGCCTCAACCTGAATGGAATGTGGGGAACAGATAGTATTTGACACAAGTGGTTGCCTAATTGTTGAAGATTTTACTGGCGGTGGCCTGGGTCTGGGAAAGCAATGCTTACAAGAACAGGGTTGTGTAAGAGCTCTAATGGCATAGTGGGTAAGACATTTGAGTCCTAACCAGAAGTCAGTGGTTCAAATCCACCATCTGCTCTATAGGAGGAAGATGAGGCATCTTCCAAGGCATTTACAGCCTTGGAAACCCAATGGGGGTTGCTATGAGTTGGAATAGACTCAATGCCAGTGGGTTTGGTTTTGAGTTTTGTTAGAAAGGTGATTGCCTGGATCAAGAACCCTAGCTAAAGTCTAGTTTACAGTGAATTCACAGGGTGTGCAGACCTAATGGGAGCTTTGATGGCATAATGCCTAAGGCATTTGACTGCTAATCGGAAGTGACCTACCAGCCACTTCTTGGAAGGACAACTGGGCAATCTACTTCCCTAGAGATACCACCTTGGAAACCCAGGGAGGGGTCGAGTAGCTATGAGTTGGGACCAACTTGATGGCAGTTAAGTTTGGTTTTTTTGGCAGACCTAACTGGTGGTCATTTCACTGGTATTTAAGTATGTAATTGCTATTGATATATTGGCAGTGGAAGCATTGGATCCTTGGGCTGTTATATAAGAACTATCATAGTAGGGAAGGCTAACTGAAAACTTCTCAAACTGTCCCCTGCCCAAGGCAAGTCAGAAAATAAAAACAAAAACAATATTGCTTTCCAGGAGAAAGGTGGTAATTAGTGCCACTCTAGATCCTATAGAGTGAATATGCAAACTATCACTCAACCAAGTAGTAGTTCCAGTTGAAGCTGTGCTAGACATGGTATCATTGCTAGGGCAGATTAATAAGGCTTCAAGTACATGGTATGTAGCCACAGATTTGGTGAATATGTTCTTTTATATTCCAATCAGAAAATTATCAGAAACAGTTTTCATTCATGAAGAATGGACAATATTTATTACAGTTCTGTCCAAGGACTATGCTAACTCTCCAAAATCCAACTGTAATATATTCTGAAAAGATCTGGACTGTCTGGACATTCTGTAGAACATCACATTGATATATTATGTTGATAATATGCTGATTGGGCAGGACAAGCAAGATGTGACTTGCATGCTAGAGGCCTTGGTAAGTCACATACACTCAGAAGGTAGAAGATAAACCCTATGAAGATTCAAGGATCTCACACTTCTATAAAGTTTTTAGGGTCCAGGAGTCAAGGTTATGTGGAGGTATGCCCTCCAGAATAACAGGCAAATATCTTTATTTTGCATTTCCTACTATAATGGAAGAAGCATAATGCCTGGTGGGCCTGTGGGTTCTGGAGGCAACACACTGCACATCCAGGAATACTGCTCAGGTTTATATACCAAGTTATGTGGAAGCTTGCAAGCTCTGAGCGGAACCCAGAGCAACAAAGCATTCTGCAGCAGTCAGTGTGGAGTTACACCAAGTCCCAGTGGGAGATCATAATATAGATCCCTGGAGATTTGGAGCAAGGCCATGTAATTTGCAGCATAGAATTTTAGTCCTTTCAAGAAACAGTGCATGGTTTTGACCCCTGGTAGAGATAGAAAGCTTGACCGTGTAGCAACAAGTGGCCATGTGTCCAGAAGTGCCCATTATGAGGTGAGTTCTGTCAGAAACATCCAGTCATAAAGTCGATCGGCTCAGCAGCAGGTCATTGTAATATGGAAATTATACATCCAAAATCAAACTCCAGTAGGACTGAGGGCAGGAGTAAACTGCATTAAGTAGTAGCTCACATCCCTATATCATTCATGATGATTTTACCAGCACCCTTCCCTCAGGATATGCTGGTTACACAGGAGATCATGTATGGCCAACCAAGGTGGGAGAGAAAAACATATGTGATCCACTTGAAGTTTCTTGATATTCCTTTGACCAACTGTAACTGAAAGACTATTTGCAGCAATTGCAACCTGAGAAGCATATAATTACCAATACACATACATTTCTCATTACAAATTGAGGATTTGGGTCACACTACGAGGTAAGCCAAGGAGCTCTGGTAGCACAGTCCCTAAGGCATCTGACTGCTAACCAGAAGGTTGGTGGTTCAAACCCACCAGCCACTCTGCAGAAGCAAGAGTGGGCAATCTACTTCCATAAAGATTTACCGCCTTGAAAACCCAATGGGGGTTTCTATGAATTGACTCGATGGCAGTGGTTTTTTTTTTTTTTTTTTTTTTTGGTACCAGATAAACCACTAAGGACTGTAGAGGTGTGTGGTATAGTAAATTACATAGTGTGGCTTTTCTAGCCATAAGTCTGTAAATTCTGTGGTGGAACTTGCTATGAGCAACTGAGTATCTCCTGATTATTAAAGTTATCTACCTGGGATATTTCTCTTCGGAGTAGCCCAAAGAAATTTTCTGGGAAGTTCACACTCTCTCTCAGGTGTATGGAATTCAGATGTTGGGATTAGTTAGTTTGGCCACTCTTCCAGGCTCAAAAGGAGCCGTCCTAGAGGCAGAAGGAATCTCTTACTTTTGCTGGCTGGGAGATGCGAGAGACACACATTGCTGAGAGAGAGACATGAGAGACATGCATTGGTGAGAGAGATGTGAGAGACACACACTGCTGGGAAAGTCTGAGAGACATGCACTGCTGGGAGAGAGACACCGAGAGAGACGCACTACTGGGAAAGAGACTGAGAGAGACTGTCAGCTGAGTGACAGTGGGCTGAGCATGTTCCTGAACTTGAATAGTAGCCTATTGCTTCTCTAATAAACCTCATAATCTGTTGAGTTCTGTGTGGCCACTGCAGCGAATTATTGAACCCAGCAGAGAGGTGGTGGGTGCTGCAGGAGGAACAGTTGGTGTCAAGGTTGGTGAAAGGGTTGGAGGGCAGTGACATGTCTGGCCTCACAGGGATAGGCTTTGGGCTACTGATGGTGATTCTGTCTTCCTCTTGTGGAGTTAGAGGAGGTCAGAACATGCAGCCTCTTTGCCCCTTTGGCAAGGTGACAGCTGAAGAAGAGTGGAATTTGAAATGGATATTGGAGGAAGAGGAAGATGGGTAGCAGTTTTGGCTCTGAGATAACTGACCGAAGGAGTCTGTAGTTTGGTCCAATAACCTCCTTCTTCTAAGTTTTCCCAATAGAATAGAGGCCTAGAGTAATCATAGAGGAGCTGTTCCTGGAACATAGGTGAGAAGTGGATCAATATGAAACCAGGGATGAATAATCATGATCATGAAATACACTGTTCAGATTATCCCAAGACAGAACCTGCTAGAAAGACTAGAAAGGAAAAAAGATAGAAGAAATCATGAAAAGAACAAGATAGATGCAAATGTCTCTAAAGCTACAGAAACATTAAGAAATGATACTTACAAAGAAGATGAAGCAGATGATGAAGATGAGGAACAGGGCTCCTATGATGAAATGCTTCCAGCACTAATTATAAATGGCATTGATTCACCTAAAAGTCAAGATGCAAACTAAAAATAATGCCAAGAAAATATCTCCCAAGCTGGCCTATTTAGAAGCAGCTGCTGGACAGGTAAATAAAGAGCCCAGGAAAGCATTTGTTAATGGTGATATGAAAATTTTCAAACAGAAACATGTGAAAGACTTTCTGCCTATGACTTAGGCAAAGAGTTCAAGACTATCAACTAAAAAATGGTTAGCAGTGATGCTAAACTACGAATTGCTATGAAGGCAACAATGTCATGGTACTCGAAGAGACTGAATAGGAAACAACAGGGATGGTTCTGTGATATTGATATTGTAGGTCGGGTGGAGCCAGCTCAATTACATTCTGATGCTGTCCCTCCTGACAACCACAAACAAAATGTAAAAGATACCATGAAATTTTCCCCAAAGTCTCCAAATGACTTCTGAAGGCAAAAGAAGCTGCTAACCTGGTGCAACTCAGAAATGTGAATACTCATGCGTCCTGGGAGGTTAATTCATCTTGTTTCCCATGCTGAATCTCAACTAGAAGTTCTCATCTACCAAAACTTCTTAATCTGTACCCAACTGTAAGCGGGCAAAGGAAATGACCGTATGTGTGTGTGTGTGTGGGGGGGGGGACATCAAAATAGTCGAGTTGACATGTCTCAGAAGACATTCTTGTTAATATCATCTTGTTCTATTACTTTATAGGCTGAGGTTTCTGAGTCAAGTGTCATTTCTGTTTTCCTTGAAAAAATGGAAAAAAAAAAAGAGAAAAAAAAACTTATGCTAGGAATGTAGTTAGCTGACTCTCCTACCACCATATCTTGGGCACCTACCATAGCATTTATGCTATGCCCTCATACCACTCCCCCCCCCCGAACTTCTCTCCAACAGTGCCTGAGCTTAGCAGGGGTACTAGAACCAAACCATATCTATCCAAATTGGAACTCCTCAAATGGTCAATCTTTGCAACGGGCCTCCTCATTGGCCTGACCAAAACTTTCTCAGAGCTGCACTGTAGCCTGAGGCTCTTCCTGCCTAATCTCCTTCCTCCTAATTCTCCTTTCACTTGCGCCAGAACTGCATTGTATTCTGAAGACTGTCCCTGTCTACTACTTCCTCTCTCAATTCTTCATAGGCATTTTTCTCCAATAAATCTCTTTCATTTTTACTTCTGTCCTGGTGATTGCTTCTCTGAGGACCTGAATTGATTACAGTTTCATGCATTGAGGATGTCCAGAATCCCTGGCCTTTTCCACAAATGCTGGTAGCACTGTCCACCCAATCTTGATGCGACTAATGATATCTCCATTGATTTCCAAATGCTTCTATTGAGAAACACTCATTTAAGAGCATAATCCTCAAAATCACAGAATTTTATAACTAGGAGAGAGTTTATAAACAAATTAAGGAAATGTTTAATGACTTAGTGGGTTAAAAGCACTAAATAGACTGTATAGCTTCAGAATTTGAACGTGAGGGTAGGAAGTGATCACACTCTAAAGTGGAAGCTAGAAAAGAACTCAGTATATGGTAAATGAACTTAGTCATCTGTGTAAGTAACCTACCTTTGGAGTTGGCTGTAAGTATATTGCTTTTGTGATTAGGACATTTTCCAATTTTCCATCAAGTCACAAGCATATATTCTTGGGAAGACATTCTGAAAATGTGGAGGTATTATGAAATAAGAATATCAGTAGTTGAGAAGACTGTCCAAAAGAAACAAAACAAAACAAACACACACATACACACACACACAAAATGCAGTCATTTGATAAATTTGTAGCAGATTACCTTTTCATTTTTAATTCAAGAAATAGTTATCTGGGAGCTCTGGTGGTATAGTGCCTAAGGCATCTGACTGCTAACCAGAAGGCTGGCCGTTCAAACCTACCAGCCACTCCTCGGAAGGAAGATTGAGCAATCTACTCATAGTAGGCATTGTATTAAGCAATGAAAATACAATAATAAACAGGACATGATCCTTCCCCTCAAATAACTTATTATCTGTAGTATGCATTCTCAATGGGAGTGATATCACCCGTCCAAAGGGGAAAAAAAAAAAAAGAAACCAAACTCACTGCCATCAAGTCAATTCTGACTCATAGCAACCCTCATTGGGTTTCCAAAGCTGTAATCTTTATGGAAGCAGACTGCCTCATCTTTCTTCCACGGAGTGGCTGGTGGGTTCAAACCACTGACTTTTTGGTTAGCAGCCAAATAACTTAACCACTATACCACCAGAGCTCCTTAAGAGGGTGAAAATTGATTTGGTGGGCAAAATAACTCCTTAGATATTACATTGGTTTCTGGACCTCCAAAGAGCTACATACAAAAACAGGCAGACTGTTTATCTGAAGCATTAAAATTTCACGGGTAAGGGGGAGTGAGCAGGAAAAAATGTCTTAAAAGGCTCCCCAGGGACCAATAAAGAAAAAAAAAGTTGAGAAACCTGGTCTAAAGGAGAAAGAAGAGAGAAAAAAGAAAGAGAATGGAAAAACAAAACAACAACAAAAAAAAACCGAGCAGGAGAGAAATGAAAAGTAAAATGGAAAGATAAATAGGAAAGGAGATGTGAAAAAGGAGAAGGTATGTGAAATTTTAGGAAGACACAACTATTTTTATCTACCATGGAGCCACGGGATACACAGCCTTTTTTCCCTGACATTCTGAAATACAAGCTTATTTCTGTCACATTATGTCTGGCTCTGGCAACAGAGTATTGAATGTGAAAAGCAATACTGAAATGCCTGCTCTTTATTAAAAGAATTCTCACATCCTAAAAGCATCCTATTTCCGGGCTAAAGTACCTCAAATGTACTCACTTTTTTTCATTTAAAATTTAAACTTGTAAAAAAAGAAAATTCCTATTGAGTTCCTAAGGACTATTATTCCATTTCGTTGTAATATGACTTCTGTTACCTCCACAATATTGAAGCCTTCAATTCTGCAGCAATTATTTCTTTCATTTATCTGCCACAGTAGTGATTGTCTGACGGCTCACTCAGTTTTTCTGCAGTTTGGATATACCCCTCAGGACCGTATACTGTTCTTTGCGTTAAGTAATAAAAAAGCAACTTTCTGATTGTTGTTAGGTGCCATTGAGTCGATCCTGACTTCTGACAGAGTAGAAGTACCTCATAGGTTTTTTATGCTGTAATATTTTCAGGAGCAGTCCACCAGGTCTTCCTTCTGCTAAGCCACTGGGTGAGTTCAAACAGCCAGCTTCTCGGTTAGCAGCTCAGCACTTAGCCATCAAGGTTCCTTTACTTTCTGATCACTAATTAGATTTCTCAAGTACCTTGATATAGAGTGACATCACTAACAGAAATGAGTATTTCAGTAATGGAAAGGTGTAATCTCTACTAGTGCTTTTATTGTAGTATAATCAACAGGATAACATGCACACTTACTGTGCAATATACTGGAGTAACTACCTCTCAAAACAAAATCCAGAACCTTTCCTCGTACAGTAAATTTCTGTCCCTGTCACTGCAATCCTATTTATGTTCCTCCAACCAGACTATCTAGCATTTCGTATAAATGGAATCATACAATATGTACTCTGTCATGTCTGGCTTCTGTTTACCCAAATATTTGTGAGATCTATCCATATTGTTAGGTATTATTAGTTTGTTCCTTTTTATTGCTGAGTTGTATTCCATTGTCCGAATATATAATAATCTGTGTTCCTGTTATAGACTTTTAGGTTGTTTCCAGTTTGGGGCTAGTGTGATAATGTTGCTCTAAACATTCTTTGTATATGAGCCTTTTTGTGAATTTTTGTTTTTATTTCTCTTGGGAAACTGAGAGTGAAACTGCTGGGTTATAGGGCAGACAAATATTTAACTATAAAGAAACTGTAAATTAATTCTCCAAACTGTCCCATTTTATACTCATATCAGCAATGTGTGAGTTCCAGCTGCTTCCCATCCTTACTAATATTGGGGTTATTAAAATATTTGGTTTGTGCTGCTTTAGCAGGTATGAAATAGAATCTCATGGTAGCTTTCATTTGCATTCCCGTCATGACTAAAGATACTGAGCATCTTTTCATGTGTTTATTAGCCATTCATAAATCTTCTGTGAAGGGTCTATTCAAGTCTTCTGATATTGTAAGTCATTCTTAATAACTTATGTTTTATTATTAATTTGTAAGTGTTTTTTATATTCTGGGGTCCTTTGCCAAATATGTGGTGAATATTTCCCAGTGTATGGTTTAATGGTGCCATTTGAAAGGCAGAAATATAAATTTTGATGAAGTCCAATTTGTCATTTTATTATTTTATGGCTAGTGCTCTTTGTATGCTGTGAAAGAAATCTTTGCTTCCTCCAAGGTTGTGAAGATACTCTCATGAGTATGAGTCACCTTGAATTAATTTTGTGTCTGGAGTGAAATAAGGGTCGAAGTTCATTTTTTTAAAAACAGATATCCTGTTATTTCAGCAATATATGTTAGAAAACAAACAAATTTTCCTTTCTCCATTGAATTGTTTTGGTGCCTTGATTTAAAAAAAAAAAACACATTACTGTAAACATGTAGGTCTCTGTCTAGACTCTTCGATCTGCTCTGCTTATCTATCAGGCTGTCCTTAGCATCACATTGTCTTGAATACTGTAACTATACCTGACCCACTGCTGCTGAGTCAATTCCAACTCATAGTGACCCTGTAGGACAGAATACCTATATTGACCCATATACCAATCAGTTGACCCATAGAGTTTCCAACGTCATAAACGTTACGGAAGCAGATTGCCACATTTCTTCCATGAAGCAGCTGGTGGGTTCCAATGCCAGACTCCTTGGTTGGCAACTTAGCACTTTAACCACCGTGTCACTACAGCTTGCTTACTGTAATTATAGAAGTCTTGAAATCAAGTAGTGCAAGTCTTCTAACTTTGTTCTTAAGATTGTTTTGGCTATTTTAGATACTACATCTTTGTACCCAAATTTTACAATTACCTTGTCTATTTCCTTAAAAAAGGAGCTGTGGTAGCGTAGTGCCTAAAGGCACCTGACTGCTAACCAGAAGGCTGGTGGTTCAAACGCACCAGCCACTCCTTGGAAGGAAGATGGGGCAATCTACTTCCGTAGTGATACTGCCTTGGAAACCCAAGGAGGGGTCGCTATGAGTCGGGTCCGACTTGATGACACATAACAACAACAACAACATTTCCTTAAAAAGAGTTCTG